GAGGCACTGAGTTTTATAAATAGGAGCATGATAGTGTAGAATAATCCTATCCAAGGACCAGTGGTGGGTTTCAAAAAATTGTTGAAACCTCTTCTGTAGGTGTGGCCTGCTTTCGGGGTCCACTGGTGGAACCTCTTCTAACCTCTTCATGAGTCTAAAAATCCAGATTTGAAACTTGGATCAGTTTTAGATATTGTTAAATAAATACGCTAGCCTCTAATTTTACAAATAACTGAAATTAAATCATGTTATAACAAAAGCATTTATAATGTTCTTCTGAATTTTAGAGTTTCTTTGTAAGGAGTGTCCAAGAATTCATATCTATATTGAACGAATTGAACTAAAGGACATTCCAGAAGATCAAACGTTAATGAGACGATGGCTTCATGATCGTTTTGCATTGAAGGACAAGTAAGTGGTAAAAGGCCTGGCTATCTATAGCATTTGATTTTTTTTAAAACAAATAAAGAGGAACTATATTTATTATTTGTATTAATAATAAATGTTGCCAGTATAATGTTTTATAGAATTGTGGTGTATTGTGTATATTGCACATGGGAAAATTTGAATGTGGAAAGTAGAGTAAAGTAATACAAGATCAATGACTATGGGAATGGGAAATATCACTCAAACAATTGTTGTGGTATCGTGATTGTAACTATGAATCAATATTGATGTGAATATCCTTTACTTACAGGCCCCCCAAAAAACACCTGGCCCAATTTGAATCAGTATATCAACATCTGTAAAACAATATTTTTTTAATACTGTGTTTCCCCGAAAATAAGACAGGGTCTTATTTTCTTTTTACCAACAAAATATGGCTTGGGCCTTATTATGAGGGGAGGGTGTTTTTTGGGGGGGTTGCCGGGCAGCTGCTCTCTTGCGAGTGGGCTCCCAAAGAGCCAGCCACAGCCTCATGGGCAAATGGCTGCGTTGCGGTGTTGCAGCAGCGCAACACAGCAGCCATGAAGCGACCACGCTCACGAGCAGCCACCTGGCAAACCCCCTTTGCTGCCGGGCACAGCGCCATTCACTGACCTAGGGGTATCCCCAAGCCGCGTGAGTGCCTGTTCGCCGGCTCCCGTGGCTTGGCACCTTCGGAATGCCAGTGAATGGCGCTCTGCACGGCTGGAGAGGGGGGGTTGCGCGAGTGGCTGTTCCGCTCTTGCTCGCCCGCCTCCCAGCCTCACGATGCCCTGGCCCAGCTCTCTCTGCAGAGGAGGAGCACCTCCGCTGCCACCACCGCCGCATGGCTTTTTCTGCGGCTTTCAAACCGAGTCTTCCAGAATGGCCGCTCTGGGCATACGCTCTATGGTTGTGCGCTCTGCCAGCAGCTGGCCCAGAACCATAGAGTGTACGCCCAGAGCGGCCACTGCCGGAAGACTCGGTTTGGAAGCTGCTGAAAAAGCCATGCGGCGGCAGCGGAGGTGGCCTGGTTCTGTGGGGAGAGCTGGGCCAGGGCATCGTGAGGCTGGGAGGCACGCGAGCAAGAGCAGAACAGCTGCTCGCGCAACCCCCCTCTCCAGCCGTGCAGAGTGCCATTCACTGACATTTTGAAGGCGCCAAGCCACGGGAGCCAGGAAGCAGCGAACAGGCACGCAGTTTGGTGATACCCCTAGGTCAGAGAATGACGCTGTGCCCAGTTGGAAAGGGGTTTGCCGGGTGGCTGCTCATGAGCGTAGTCACTTCATGGCTGCTGTGTTGTGCTTCTGCGACAGCGCAACACGGCCATTCGCCCATGAGGGTGTGCCTGGCTTTTTGGGAGCCTGCTCGCGAGAGCAGCTGCCCAGCCACCCCCTTCTTCCGCTGGGCACAGCACTGCTCACCAACCTAGCTGTATCCCGAAGGCGCCACGCAATGCGATCACCTTTGCCTCCCCCCCCCCGGTTCCCATGGCTTGGCACCTTTGGGATACCGCTAGGTTGGTGAGCGGTGCTCTTCCTGACCAGAGATGGGGGGGGGGTTGTCCAGGGGGCTTATTTGTGGGGGAGGGCTTATATTTTTGCCCACCAGAAAAATGTGGCATGGCCTTATTATCAGGACAAGTCATATTTTCGGGGAAACACGGTAGGTGTGGATACACTGATTCAAATTTGACTAGGTTTGTTTTTGCCTGAGAGTAAAGGATATTCACACCCATACGGATTCATTAGCAGGCTAGCCTTCTCTATAAGCTGTAAGTTAATTATTGTTGTCTTGAATGCTGTGTATATTTACCTAGTTGTGACTTGGCACAAATAAACTTGGCTAAATAAATGCACCCACATAGCTTAGCTAAAACTCTAGTCATTTTCATTCGAGTCCATTTAGCAGCACTAAATTTTTAAAATTAACCTACTTAAGGAAAATAGAGTTGTGCAGAGCATTTAGAATTGATCCTTCACAAAGCAGATCAGTGTGAACAGAGGGCTCTCTTTGAAGGGTAAAACAGCCGCGTCCTTTATGAGACTTATGCAGCTGCTTCAAAAGGACATGAACGCTTCCATTGGAATTGCTACCAAAATCTACACAGAGATAATATAAGACAGCTGGCAATATTCCTTCCAGGGGTTGTGACTGCTTCATTTCAGAGAGAGGAATGTTGCATATGTGCTAAATTTCTTTGTATAACACCTCTTTGAATGCTTTGTACAGCCCTAAAAATAAGTGTAGTCTAATTACACACCGTAGTGAAATTTGTGCTATTTGCACAAATGAGCCGAGGTGGCGCAGTGGTTAAAGGCAGCACTGCAGGCTACTTCAGCTGACTGCAGTTCGGCAGTTCGGCAGTTCAAATCTCACCGGCTCAGGGTTGACTCAGCCTTCCATCCTTCCGAGGTGGGTAAAATGAGGACCCGGATTGTTGTTGGGGGCAATATATGCTGACTCTGTAAACCGCTTAGAGAGGGCTGAAAGCCCTATGAAGCGGTATATAAGTCTAACTGCTATTGCTATTGCAGATGAAAATTAAAAAGCTCAGTCCCTGATGTATGGGAGAAAGAATTTCAGGCCAAAAGTTATGGTTCTTGGAGGAAAGTATTTGTGATAAATTATCAGAGATAATCAGAGAATTGTATAAAAGCATATGATAAATAAATCTCATTTTCAAACTTTCTCCTTGCTCCTAGATTGCTAATAGAATTTTATGATGCAAAAGATTCTAAAAGAAGAAATAGGTTTCCTGGGAAAAGCGTCCACTCCAAATTAAGTCTCCAGAAAACGTTGCCATCCTTATTATTTTTAAGCGGCTTGACTGCCAGCCTGCTATTGACAGAGTGTGGAAGGAATCTTTACATAAAAACATGGATATATGGGACCTTATTAGGTTATCTCTGGGTCAGCATTAAAGCATAAAAACTGCACTTTCTTCACTGGCTTTTTTCTCTCTCTTGCTTTGCACATCGCATCAAATTCTTTCCTAAATTTATATTAATATTTTAAATAAAGTCCTATCAATTGAATAGTGTATCAACACACTCTGTTAATCTAATTTTGTGGTGGTGGTTATGACAAAAAGGTAAATTATGTTTCTGATTTTGGAGAAGAACAAAGGCTTAGCATATTTTTTCTTCCGTGAATATGTCTCTACCAACAAACAACATACACTCTATGTGTTTATAACGGTTCAAATTGAGCAGTGAATGATTTTCTAGCATTATTTTAGATGAACGTCTTTATTTCTGAAAAGGTTTTCTGATTTTTAGTTTATTAAAAAAAGCTCTTACAACAAAACCTAAAAACCAAACTGGTTTCTACTGGTGCCTCCTTCTCTATTTGAATCTAAATATGTTTTGTCAGTTTTGAAAAGAAGTTGCTCCAGCACAGGGTGTAAAAGAAACGCGGATGAAATACTCTATGAGTTTAATAAGTGAATGGAATTTTGATCCTGTTATGTGGCTAGTTAACTTCAGCTTTATAATTTTTTAATCTGCAAAGCGTAGTTTTTATTTAAACACCTTAAATTTGTACATGAGTAAATTATATATTCAAAATAGATAATGCACTAACTGAGGCTCACTCAGTTATAAGCTTGCCAAATTTATAAAACATTTCAGCTAAACTGCCAGATAAGAAACGCCAGAAAAGTTCATGCATATTCCGAGTTCCTGTTTAGCCAGGTCTTCTTCATGTACAATGGCTTGCTTATACAGGTTTCTTCATGTTCAGGAGAAAAACGTGCAGTCCAGCTTGGGAATATAGATCCAGCTGTGAAGCAACAATTAGAGATGGAAAATGTTATGGTGGAATGAGTATGAAGTAAGCAATCCTGCTGCGCAATGAGAAGTACATTTTATGGAAATGAGGAATAATTGTATATTCTTGCCAAAATATAAAATATGTGCCTTTGTTCGACATGATCCTGAATTGCAAATTAATTATTACAATTCAATCTCACTTTTGGATAGTTTGAACATTTTTGCACTTGATGTGTGCTTCTGATGAACAGGAGATTGAGATTTGGGTTTTTGAGCTCTGTGGTTTGAAATGTGGAAAAATACTCTATTAATATTTTATTTTTGCACATTTCATAGAATTTCATAAAGTTTAGCATCTGTCTATCCTGTATCTAGTAGGAAAAGGGATGCTGTTTTATACTTGTTGTTTTATACAACAAAGGAAAACTCTCACGATTCCAATATTAGAATAAAAAACATGAAAGGCTTTAAAAAAAATCTTTCTCAACTTCTCATATCCAGTTTTTGCTGACTTTGCGAAAGCTTAAAAAGTTTCATACAAAAGGATCTAAAATGATCAGGTTTGAGGTTTTTTTTATAATATCAAACATATTTTATTCCTGTATGTAATGAAAAACTAATTTTTCTTTATATTTGCCCTAAAAATTATACAATGTGTTTATTATTCTGTAGATGATCGTTTTCATCTGCTTCACTGTTTGACTTTTTGTTCTCAGGTTAATGGAAAAAATCTAGTAACAAATTTTAAGGGAGGAAAGTTTTGGATATTTAGAGTGTTGTATTGTGCCACATCAAAGCAAGCACATGGATTGCTTTGACGTGGCTTCAGATGTCTACAGTGGTGGGATTCAAATAATTTACCAACCAGTTCTCATGACCAGCTGGGTAGGCGGGGCTCAGTGGTCATGTGTTCATGTGGGTGTGGCCAAGTCAATGTCACTCAGGTCGATGGGCACTTGGCCTTAGTT